GATATAGACATTCACACTCCAAATTGTCAAATTAATGCACAGTAAGTCTCAGTAAAAGTATAGTTAAAAAATGTCACACAAACACTTTCAAGTATCTACCATTTTTCTCAGTGTTTATGCTGCCCCTTTAGGTGCTAAGGTCGGCAGCACCTGTCCTCCTCAAAAAGAAGGGAAAAGGGTGGTTTAGTGAGTTGTTGGCACCCTCAATTCTTCACCAGGAAGATGTGATGTTGATGGTTTCTTTTTCCGCATTCTCAGTTCCAGCTGGGGCTAATTCAATACATTTTCTAACATTGCTTTTTGCTTTGTTCTTTCTTTATTGATTGGCAACATCACTTCTTATCTGTATTTATTATATATTTTGTTTTACATATGTTAGTACATTCCTTGTTTTTCCAAATGTTTTTTCTCTTTGTTAGCCTTAAAACTTTTTGTCCAACTCCCCATCCAGGTTTGTTTTTTTGATGACCATTGCTAAGTTGCTTATAGGCCTGCAGTCTTTATTGTCCCATTTCTGTAGTCTTCTAAACCACATTATTGTTTTAAAGTCATAAATATTTAATTCAACACAGAATAATTACTTTTTACTGTATATGTAAAACCAAGTTTATGCAAATATAAACAAATGTAAGTGATATAAGCAAAGCTGTAACAAAATGGGCAATAGTCACCTGATCATTAGGAAAATTGTTGCAGCTAAACAAGCTAAATCAAAGCTCCATGCAAGCAAGGAAAGTTCAAACAAAGCCTGAGAAATTAATCTTGAGGCCTTGCAGAGCTGGAACAAGGTCTACAGCTTGCTACAAGCAATGGCAATACTGGCTTACAGGGCTACAATAACAGCTGGACAAACATTCTTGTATTGGTTTTTGTCTCTTTGTCTTAATATAACTTCTAATTAGCACATTGACTAGTTAGAAAGTCTAGCTTTAGAAAAGGTTGTAAGAGGCCTGGGTTTTTTTGTTATGCATTTCTTTTTCTCACGTTGCTTTCAGTGGTGCTGTACTTCTTGTAAAACAAGAAGTTTTAATGTTCTTACAGAACTTGAAATCTTGGCTTTATAAGCTAGAGCAAAATCACATAGGAGCATTAATACCTGAATTTAGCAGGTTGGATAGACTTTACATATCCTGAGGAAGTAATATGTACTTTAATATCTACTACTAACAGAGTAGCCTTGTTAGAGTCACACTCTTATCTGGACTTTTCTTGAAATCCAAACGAAAGACCTGGATTTCCATAGAAATTTTGGTGTGAGCTACTGCATACGACATCTATGCAGGATTCTTGCACAGTCTGAGTGCTCCTTTTACCACTGTGATTTTTAGAAAAGTCATCATGGTAAGAGACAGTGAAGGTGTCAAATGGCAGACAGACAAGGAGTAGTGGAGAGAACAGTCTGTAAATCAATGAATATTTTTAAATCATGCATTTTGGAACCAGGAGAAGTGATAGTAATATAAGTCTCTATACTAATAAAGGTGCATTTATCCCCACCTGTTAGGACAGAATGAGCTAGATAGCTGTAAATACCACTGCAGATAGCACTATCAAGCTTAGCTTATCTTTCCCT